TGAATTCCGCGAGAAATGTTCAAAAACTGCTCCGTCTGTCCATTACAGAAGACGGCCGATATGTCGAACATCTGTATGTAACAAAATCTCATGTCTTGGTTTGCTATTTATTTTTATTGTTATTAGATATAGTTTAAATGTGTTGATGTTGGTTAAATATATTTTTAATTGTTAAAAATTCTGCATCTCTCAGAGCAAATATTATTTTCGTTTTAATTGATGCTCACAGCTAGAATTTGTTTGCATTACAGCCGTTGCCGTTCAAAGCCTACTTATTTAAAGCGGGCGAATTGTTATATACTTTATATCTCGAAGAGGAATCGAGCAAAATATCAAGTGTGTTATATTTTTGAAAAAGTAATTTTAAATTCTTTTGAATAAATTAAAAATATACAGGATGTTCCATATAAATAATCAAATTTTCTGTTGATAATTCTTAAATTATTAATTTTAAAAAAATTATACTTAAACCATTAAATTCTGCGTAAAAAGGTGATTTGGAAATATTTTCATAAAAATACAAAATTTTCCATAGCAAAAAAGTTACAGCGATTTGTTAAAAATGCATATTTTTGAAAAACACCCCGTAACTCCGAAACGGTAACAGATATCGATATGCGGTTTTCACCATCATGTTTTTGATAAAAATTGAGCTCCAGACACCGATATTAGTTTTTGTCTATCTCCTATAGAAAAGGGTGTTTCCATTTAAAAGCGTCGAATTTGACCCACCCTGTACACTGGGTAAGCTCAACACACTTGATAAAGCATTTTGATATAACAAATAAATTATTTATACCAAAAATTAGTAATAATCGCAGTGTTAAATCCGAGGTTAAATCAGAGGTAAGCAATAATTCTTCAATTACCTCTGAGGCATAACCAAAAATAACTTCATTTCTAAAAAAGCCGAAATTTTTTCAATAATTCCACAGCTTTTCTACCGGGTCTTCTACGGAAAATACCGAGAGGGTGCTTTCATGTTTCCCCCGAGCGATCATGACTATCATGATCGTGCCCATCTGAGCCTCTGCTGTTCGTGTTGATAGCATTTCCCAAAACCAGCGAATAATAGTTCTGTTCACCCCTCTTGTTTCTAGAGATTGCCTGACAATCGCCACCTTATGTGGCATATTGTCAAACCGCCCCCGCAATATCCAAGAAGGCACAAATTGCTGTTTCTTTGCTATCCAGACTTGTCTGTATTAGCTCCGTTAATTGGTACAGAGCAGTTTCTGTGGATCTGCCCGCTCTATATGCATGCTGACTATCGTGCAGTGGTTTAACCTTTAGATGAAATTCTCCAATATGGTTGTCAACTATTTTCTCCAACGTTTTTAGTATGAACGATGTGATATTAATAGGCCTAAATGATGGCTTGGGATTTGTCCAGTCAGTTTTGCCTATTTTGTGTATGAAGATTACTTTTGTTCTTCTCCATGTGGTTGGTATATATCCCATCGCTAGACTGCTTCTTGTAATGCATAGTAGATGGTGACTAGCTATTTGCTGACCCTCCTTCAGAAGGGCAGGAAAGATCCCATCTACCCCTGCTGCTTTATAGGGCTGAAGGGTGTCGATCGCCCATTTCAGTTTTTGTTCCGTTATTACTAGCTTGGCCACTTCCCAATCTTCCCTGCAAGGATTGTGGGGTTCAGTGGGAGCTGCATGCGTATAAATAGGTATGCTACTTGGAAAGTGTGTATAAAGTAGGAGATTAGCTCTCTCTTCCTCTCCTTCCGTATAGCTTTCGTCAAATTTCTTAAGTGCTATGTTGGGGATGGACACACCGGCGGAGAATGCACCAAGCCTATAAAATTATTAACAAATGTATTGTACTCATTCGACAGAGTGTTCCAGAAATAAGTGCAAGTATTTTAAGGGGTGGTAGATCTCGATAAAAGAAACATATTTTCTCTTTATCGTTTCTCAAATATGTAAGTCAAAAATAACGGAGTTATTTTACATTGAAAATTTCCAAAAAAAATTTTTTTTTCCTAAAATTTTGAGATCACTGGATCTTTTCTGGATTTTCTTTCTTGTAAATTTAATCTAATACCTATGTTGCCATATTATCAGGAAATTATGTTTTTTAACTAAAAACTAAAAAAAATTCCAATTGTTTTTTAAAAAATCTCGAATTTTCAATATTTTTTTTCGGGAAAAAAACGTCATTGGCGTGTTTCTGTGGTTGAACTATACTACCAGTTAAAATACTTGCACTTATTTCTGGGACACCCTGTATAAACTAATGTTAAATAATAATAACGTTTTTAATATTCCCTATAAAAAGTTAATTAGTTGTGGCATTTTTTAAATAAATTAGTATCTATTTATTTAGTTTTGGAGCCTAGTTAACGTTTTTATTGCTATAAAAAAAGGTGAATTATTTGTGGTGAATTAACTTTTTTTAAATAAATTAGTATATTTATTTGTTTACTACTAGAGCCTATAGTTTGTTTACTGCAAAAAATAAAAATAATTAATATAAACCACAAATGTTGATCATTTACACAGCTGACACAACGAAAATGGCAGAAAATAGAGTCGGTTGACAGCTCATCGGCCCCAGTCGGCGCGTTATTCAAATAAATGTTATTCATTGGTCCGAGCGCTTGGAATCCTGGAGTGGGAAACTGGCAGGATGCGCAGTGGTCTTTGCTACATCTTTAACTTCATAAATCTATGGGGAAATCAGAATAATTTACCTTATACTGACGAGCGTATAGTGTATGAAAGATAATTATATTGTTGCGTAGTTCTGATGATAATGTAGCGATTTGTATTTGAGCGATCGTTTTGGTATTAATTTGTATGTTGCCTAGATACTACGCAAATAATTTGACTGTGATTATTATTATTTTTTTATAACAGCGGGATTATTAGAGCTTTCAAGGCTTAGGCAAAGTTTGTTTTGAACTTAAATGACGCTTAAATAATAAAGGATGCTGTGCATAAAATATCTATATTAGTTGGAACATTTTCACATTAATTATATTACACACTCAAGAGTAACAATCTATTTAGTAAGTGGCCAATGGCTACTAGTTTTGGAGTAATATAGTTTAATAATATTAATAAAATAAAACCAATATACCAATATACCTTACCTATATGTGTTTAACATACATAATCACACGTCTCGTTATATTTCGTTCATTATAAAATTATACAGATCATACAGTGAATAGTTCTGACTGACAACGAAACCCATTAGCAGCTAGACCTAACACCACTGCATATAGTCGTCGGTAGTTTGACAATGATTAGAATGGTCATTGACGGAAACAGTACTGGGAGAATTTTCAGGTCAGGGGCTTGGAACATTCTCAAAAAGAAAATTCCACTTTTTCAACTCCCAGTGGATGATATACCAAGAATTTACAACTTTGAGAAACACCTCACTGTAGTATTGAGTAATAAAAAGGATTGGGGGAAGAAAGAAACGCTTACTCAGCATATAAATGACAGTACCATAACATGGTATACTGATGCTTCCAAAACCAAAGCAGGTACAGGGATAGGAGTATTTGGGCCGAAAACTAAATACTCCGAACCAATGGGCACCTACCCCAGTATCCTTCAGGCAAAAATTTACGCTATCGAAAGATGTGTACAATTTATCTTAGATAAGGAACTACCGAAACCAAGGGATAGAAGGCAATGAAAAAGCAAATGATCTAGCTAGGAAAGGAGCGAATACTCAACTAACTGGATCAGAAGCGTTCTGTTTTCCAAACGGGAACCAACTAAAAGTGGAACTGAAGTATCTGGAAGACTCCATCCGTAACTTGGAATGGGTGTTCTCCAACAATCTAAGACACTTGCGAAAAAGTTCCTCAGAACTTACGACCGAGAAAAATCAAAGGTCTTCCTTGATTTAAGTAAAGACTATCTTCGGATTGTCACGGGTTTTCTAACAGGACACTGTCTCCTCAACGAATACCTCAGTAGGCTGAAGTTGAGAAACAACGGCGAATGCACACCAGAAAATCTTATCACTGAGTGCGCCGAGACGACGACCATTCGTGCCATGAACTTTGGTACGGCTGATGTCGAGGATGGAGAGCTGGCCTTTGTGGAGCCGTCTCAGATACTGGCTTTTGTTAAAACCCCGAGACTGTATGATGAGCTATAACTCGTTATAACTCAAGAAAGGGGAACACATAATAGATCTGTAAGGTCGCGGTGATTAACTCCCCTCCCAAAACATTCTACATTCTACAAACCCATTAGCAAGCAACGGGGATTCTGAACTATTGTGGACTAAAGACCTAGTTCAAGGAGCTATTCCTCTGGAGGAACTAGAATTAAGAAACTAGTTCCTCTCAAGGAACTAGAATTTCCACCTCTAGCACCCGGTAGAGGAAACTAGGAACATGGAAAAATTATTATGTTTACATAAAAAAATCGCTAAAATTAAAATGCAAATAATTATAGTAAATGGAGATTCTGTTTTCTAAGAGGGCTGGCTTTATATTTGCAGAAACTACATATAAATCTAATTTATATAATATACTTACCCTTAAATCATAAAAACACTAATCACCCACGCATTGAGACACTTTCACCTGTTCAAAAAACTGCTTAGATTAAAATGTTCTTCGTCTTTCCTCTAACTACGTTTTCAATCGATTACTTAATTCGCACCAGCTCCACATGAAGTCACGTGACGACTTTATTTTTGCGCGTTTCGTATATTAAGAAAATTGTCAAAAAGGAGGTGTTGTAAATTCAAAACTAGTAATTAAATTAAAAAAATAATATTATTTTTTTTTAAAAGTAATATTATTAATTTATATTGTCTTTGAACTAACTCGATGTAAGATAGGATAATTTAAACCCGATTTAACACCCCCTTTTTTTAACACCCTGTATATAATACGTATATTGTATATACGCGATTTTTTGATATCTATTTTCCATTACATTTTTTTAAATATATCATTGATCATTAGTTAAATTTATTCTAATTTATTTTTTCTCTTCTTTTCAGTGTTCGTAGTGTAATGCATAAATATTTAGAAAAGAAAAACGATGTGTCTTTTGACAAGATCTTCCACCAAACTTTAGGTAAGTTAAACTTAGAATGTAAATATATATTTTTCAACGCCAGTCTATTTTTTATTCTGTTTTTCTATCTAGAATTCCGACGATTCTATTCTCGACTTTAGATTGAGTGTGATTGATATAACTATACTTTTTTTTATGCCTTTGTATATGTAATGTCTACTTATCTGTACCTTAAGAATCTAAGATATTTCGCTACTGAAACTGAAACTCTTGCCGGTGTGTGTGCAAGCGCTCTTAGGGCGCTTAAGAGCTCTTGCACACAATTTAATAAGTGACACACAAAATAACAAGCAATCGGTTTATAACAAAAAGTTTTTTAGTTTTGGAGATATAACAAAAATCTAACCACTTGATAATGAAAATAATTCAATTCGTCAATCAATAATAATTTATATCATTTGGTAAAATACCAAATCTCGTTTTTTTATCTATGTTATAGTTATAGTGCATCTATGTATAGTTATAGGGTTGAACTAGTTTTGAGAAACACCCGGTATAGTTTGCCGTAACACAAAACTTTAGATTGGGAAACAAAATTCGAACCATTAGAATAAAAACAAATATGATTTCTTTTTCACATAGTAAGTATTGGAGTTGAAGTAACTGATTTCTAAATATTTTTGTATAAATCATCATCATCATCATCATCATCATTTTCAGCTTATTCAACCATTTGCAATTATGGTGTAGCGGTGTAGCATCCCTCACATATTTAGGTACTCCGTAGTTCGGCCCATTGTTGTCTATTGTTGGTTATGCCTTGGTTATGCCCACCCCTGGTAATTTCCTAATGTCATGGTCTCATCTCAGGTTCGGTCTTCTTCTAGGTCTCTTAATTCCTCGTGGGTACCATGCTGTAATTTTTGTGGTACATCTGGGTCCGTTCTTCTTGCCAGGTGTCCTGCCCATTACCATTTGGGGGATTTGTTTCTGTGGATGACATCTATTACCTGGATCTTTTGTCGTATCCATTCTATTCTCTTACGATCTCTCTTGGTTATTTGGTTAGCACATTGGGCGTTGTGCAACCTGCAGTTTTCTTGTGATGTCCGTTTTAAGTGGTTTCGCATGCATAGGTCACGGCATATAAATCACACCACAGGCTAACTCCCCAGGTCCCATTGTTAAACATTTCTATAAAATTTGACCTTGAAAACACCATTATGGGTGCCGAGTCAGGGCCGGATTAAAACGTATCAAAAATGTTTCCAGAAAATAAACTATTGATAGACAGGGTCGTAATAAAAATTTTATTTACACAATACTTTTATCTAAACAAATGAATCGTTAACCGCGCATACTCCTCGAAAAGTAGAAATGAAAAATATTTAACTGTAGAGAATAGACAATTAAAATTAAAAAAAACATGCCAGGAGTTACAAACAAGAATTAAAGAAATACCCAATAAAATATCTATTGAAGAATCTAAAGAGGCTACGTACAAATTATGTCCATCAATGGACATAGCAAATTTTGTTAATATTCAAATTGCACAAATTAATAAATCAGCTAAAGGAAGAAAAGTAACTGATGAATTTAAATACCGTATGATCGAGAAAAAACGGCGTCAACGATGGCTATGAAATGAAGGTCGCTGTCATTTTATATGTAAATTTATATAGGAAATGTCATTGATCGTCATTTCCCAGCCAACTGGACGCCGTTTTTTTTTTTCGATCATATGGTATAAATGTTTGGCTATATACTTTTCCGGGCCAAAAATGTACAAGACGCTCTTGACAAATCTATTTTGCCTTCCACGCCCAGAGACCCAGAGACACTAAGATAATGAATATATGACATCGATATCAAACCTGGATGAACTTAATCGATATTGTGTATTTTCTATGTATTGATGATATGAATATCAAGTGCAATTTGTTTTATAATAGTGGTCATGATAATATTGTAGGTTTTGAGGACCAGAAGGGGAACAGAGAGTTTAAACCAGCTCTGGTATCTAATGTTGTTATGGTAAGAGGTATCTTTACCAATGGGAAACAGTCCCTAGCTTATTTTACAAGCTTTTATTTAACTTGCTTTGTATGTATATTTGTTCGGGGCAAATCTTGTAAGCTAAATTAGAAGCACTTCCTTTTATTGTAGGAAATTGAAATTTGGCATGTAGGTTCAGTCCCGATGACAATACATTTTCTTGCAAAGCATGAACCGAATTTTTGACAGCTGCCAAAAAAATTTCAAAGTTGTCCGATTTTGATAAAAATCGATATATAGGATTGCCATGGGCTAAAATGAAAGAAGAAAAAATTGAGCTGTCAAATTTGACAGCTGTCAAAAAAATTTCAAAGTTGTCCGATTTTGATAAAAATCTAATATATTAGATATATAGGATGGGTTAAAATGAAAAAAGAAAAAAAATTGAGCTGTCAAATTTGGCAGCTGTCAAAAATCTCAAAGTTGTCCGATTTGATAAAAATCGATATATTGGATGCTCCCTACCCCATAGTCGGTTTTTATTTTATTTGTCTCACATTTGAACTGTCAAATCTGACAGCTGTCGTTTTTAAGTTCTCCTTTTTAATGAAAATCGATATACATATTATTAGGATGCCCATTGGAAGTTATTTAAGAAAAAGAATTGAGTTTAAGTGTATGGCACTGAGAAACATCCAGGATAACTTCAAGTAAAAAATAAATTTAAGAAAAAAAACCTTTTTAAAAACAAACTTTTATTTAAATACATTAAAAATAAAAAAAAATTTTCTTTAAAACTTTTATTATGAACTTATAACGTCATTATACAATTTTATATTATATAAAAGCTTGTCACGAGATTTAAGTGTACAGTTGCACTCATAAAAATCTGATACGACAACTTTATCTAGTAATTCCAATATCTTGTAAACCTATCATTATTCCTATCCAGGATAAATTCATCTAGTTTAGAAGAACATTTAAAAAACTTTGTGTCCGAATATTACACACTGGTACTGAAAATTGCCAAAATGATCTGGCAAACATCTTATTAAAAACGGCAGACCTTATTATAAAAAACAACGAGACCTCTGTTCTTTTCTGTCTGAATTGTCATGAGCTATCCATAAAAATTAAAAATAGATACAGATAATCAGAAAAACAGTAATTTAGAAATGAATCTTGTTTGTCATTTTGCAGGATACCTAATAATAAAAATTACTTTGAATGCCGTAGGCAATGATTGAGTATTAAAACTAAAAGAATTTCGGACTTCAATTGTACTACTAAACTACAAAAACCAAATATATCACACAATAAACAAAATATATCACTCAAGAAAAGAATGAAATAAATTAAGCCGCACGCTGCTGACTCAAAGCAGCCGTAACTGTATGTTGTAGATGACAAAGACTACGACTGACTACGACACTGGTTAATTTCTGTTGCTGGCACCCATAATGGCGGCGTGCGCAAGGATATGCGCGTAGCGTTCCCGCTAAAGCGAGTTGGCCTGCCGTGTGATTTATATGCCGTGCATAGGTCATGACTGGTAGTTGACTTGGTTGAATGTTTTTTTTTAGATATAGTGGCATTCGAGATTTGAATAAGATTGAGTTTCTTCCATTAAGTACTCCGTGCTAAGATAATGATCGCAAAATTTATTTTTAGTGAAAATATTTGCTAACAAAAACGCTGTTTATGAAAAATAATATACAGGATGGTTGAACATTGCTATAAGTATAAAATTATATATTCAGATATTAGTAAATTTTAACTTATTTTTTGATTTTTGTCCATGGGACGAAGCACTGTGCGCCGTCTGGCTGCTGATACACGTTGCTTTCACTACTGCGTATCCTAAGAAGATCATGAGAAGATCCTCTATTTTTTTACTTAGCGGTTTAAATTCTAGTATTGAATAAAAACCGAGCAAGTCTCCATTAGCTCGGCGCGTAGAGCTTTCGCCTTGAAGCGAAGGTCAGTGGTTCGATACTGGCTGGAGGTGCAATTTTTTTTTTCGTTTATATTCTGATAGTAAAGTAATACATATTTGCTGACACTAATATTAAATAAAAATATTTAATTCAATTATAATAATTAGATTGTAATGATTTAAACATAATGTCTCAAAATAAAAATGTTTATTTAAATTTAATTTGCTTCAAAACAGAAGGGAGGCGACATGTTTCGGGACTTAACAATTCCCATCTTCAGGCCCAGAAAGCTAAAATAATTACAATCAGAATAATAAACAAATTCCAATAAAGTCATATAGAGGTCAAAATATATAAAATACAATCACAAAACAAATTAAAAGGTTAAATTTTTTTTAAAAAGGTTTAAAAGTTATTTCTATCACAATTATTCAATCACAGATAACATTATGCCAAGCTCAGTTTGGAAATTAAATCAACTAAATTAAAATCATAAAGGGCAATAATTTAAGTTCAATAAAAAACGAAAAAACTTCAAGAACTTTCTTGTCCCCTACCCCTCGTCAAAGGTTTTACTTTGATATGTACTCACACTGGGTTGGAAAACGTTTAGATATAGTTTACCTTAAAACAAAATTTTAGTTTCGGGAAAATAAAAATTCTGTTTAAAAAAACTAAATCAAAAATCAGACCATTTGAATAAAAAGATTTTATTTTTCAAGCAAGTATTGGAGACACTGGTTTCTAAATATTTTTTATACACATTTTGGAGGGTTAATTAATTTACTGGAGAATGCTTAAAACAAAATCGGAGTCGGTGCCGGTGCTGGAATTGATTGCAATATAAATAAATTAGCTCTTTGATAGACTCCGATCTTGCGATGTTGCCGGTGTATGTGTAAGCGCTCTTACTCTATATTACAAAATCTAATGTGGTTGTTCTTGGTTTCTAATACTGCCTTATTCTCCCAATAAATAGAAGTAATAATAAACACATGCCATTTTTTAATTATTTACTTTTCATCCATCAGAAACACATCCTTTTCTACACGTGCCAATTGAATAATTTTTCCCGCACAATTTTCGGCAACGCTTAGGCGAATATTAATGTGAGAATGAATAATTGAC